AGAAGAACTGCAGAGTGGCCTTTAAAGCAGCCGCGGATTATTCAGAGCAAAGGCCAGTGGAGGCGAGTAGCCAATTGGTCCAGGGCCCATCCCGCCCTGTCCTTCCCCGGGTGCAGGTGCACGCTGCCATCCCCCTGCCCCCTGCCTCTGCGCGCTGAGCTCCAGCAGCCTGGGGAGCACAGGGTGTCTTTCACACGGCCTGGAGCTGCCGGGCCTCAAGCCACCCTGGTCCTGGGCTTCTTCCAGTCCCAGCCTCCTGGAGCCTTGTCCGCCCAGAGGCCTGTCTCCCTGCCACAAGTCAAAGGCAAACCGTGTCAATAGGTCCAGACTCCTGCTGTCACCCCCTCTACCCTACCCCTGACCCGCCTACTGCACAGGATTCTGCAAGAATCGGTTGCTGCTGCCGGGCCTGCAGGCCTTATGAAGGGCTGGAGGGCATCAGCTGGGGCCCCGCCCAAGGGACCAACTGTGGAGCCGGAGCCCAGGCCCAAGGGACCAACTGTGGAGCCGGAGCCCAGGCCCAAGGGACCAACTGTGGAGCCGGAGCCCAGGCCCAAGGGACCAACTGTGGAGCCGGAGCCCAGGCCCAAGGGACCAACTGTGGAGCCGGAGCCCAGGCCCAAGGGACCAACTGTGGAGCCGGAGCCCAGGCCCAAGGGACCAACTGTGGAGCCGGAGCCCAGGCCCAAGGGACCAACTGTGGAGCTGGAGCCCAGGCCCAAGGGACAAACTGGAGCCAGAGCCCACATAGAGGGGGCAGGGGCGGCATGCACACTCCACACGGACAGCAGTGTCATTGCTTTATGATCGGACCCTCTGTGTTTATAGACTACTGTTGCCGTCCAAAAAGGCTGCCAGGGTCCCACGCCTGGACACTGACCGGCTGGTCAGGCGTGGACAGTGCATGGCACGGCCGTAATTCTGCTTGCCTCCCACAGCACAAGCAGGTGCACACTGTTTCTCTGCTCACTGGCTCAGTTTTCCAAGACCTCAAGTCAGGGTCAGTGTTGAATTTTCCCAGCATCATCCACATGCAAAAAGATGGAGGTCCCAGCCCTTTTCCCCACAGAGGGACTCCCTCACCTTCCCGGTCCCCCAGCAGAAGTCCCCTCAGCTGGTCCTGGTCAGAGCTCAACCTGGCAGAACCCTTCTGGGTCCCACTGCTGTGAACAGGCTGCAGGCCTGAAGCAGGTCTGTCTTGGTGGATTTGCTGAAGTGGGAAAGAAAGTGGAACCAGGGTTCCGGCAGACTAGGAGCCCCTGGCCGGGGGCAAATCTGTAGGTGCCTCTCCGGCAGCCTTTGGCCTCGGAGCCAGACCACCCGGGTAAGATCCTGGCTCTGCAACTTGCTGCCCGGGGCACATTACTCACCCTCCCTCCCTCTCAGTTTCCGCATCTGTAAGTGGCAGTGGTGACAATGCCTGCCTCCTGGGGTGGCTTTAAGAATTTAGTAAGTTGGTATTTGTAGAGCCCTTCGAACAGTGCCTGGTGCAGAGTGGTAGCCTGAGGAGGGCGAGTGCATTTTCACTCACAAGGCGCAGTTACTGGGAAGTGGCTCGTGTGACACTTTTGGAGACGTCTCCGGGGACCGTTATGTGAGTCAGAGTTGGCAGGTCTGCCCTACATGGCGTTTTCAAGCCCTGCGGCAGAGTATCATTCTCCTGTCTGACTCCCCACCGGCCGGGACCTCTCTCTGGGCAGCAGCAAGGCCACGCACCCTCCCTCATTCCCAGGACTGGAGAGCATCAGTGTCAGGAAGCCTTTGCTGAACACATGATTGAGTGTGACGGCAGGGGAGGAATGTGACAAGTGGGCAGATCCCAGAGGCTCTGCCTGTGAGGGTCAGCTCAGCCCGCATTTCTCAGGGGCCCACAGGGGAGATGCTGCTGTGGCAGCGCCTCTGAACACCGGTCTTGTTCCTTCTAGATAAGGTTCTGACGTTGCTCCCAGCGGCAGCTGGAGGCCACGCTCAGCATCCATCCCCAGGTCTGGACCAACCAGCTGGCCCACTGATGTCCTGTGCTGGTCACTGGAGAGGAAAGATGTCCCAGCCTTGAGGTCTGGACTCAGCCTCTGCAGAGGACACTCATCCGGAGTCCCAGGCTGCAGAGCCACAGCCCTCAGGGTCCCACGGGAGTCGGGTCCTCCCTGCCGGTGCCTCCTCCTAACAGCAGAGCCACAGCTCTTTCTGTCTCCACTCCTGTTCCACCCCTTCTGGATCCCGCACCCGAGGCCGTCCCTGCCAGCCCCTGCCAGCCAGACGAACGTCAGGAGCCATCTGCTGCCTGAGCCAGCGCAGCTGCCAGGAACGTGCTCGCGTCCATGTGAGTCGATTTTGTTTGGCCTCGTGATCAGATCCTCAGCTGAGCAAGGGGAGACGTGCTAACTACTCAGAGGTTCCGTCGGCCTGAGGAAGGGGGAACAGACAGCCCAGGAGAGGACAGGGGCCAGAGGCCTGGAGACGACCACGGTGCCAGTGAGCAGGTGCCCTGGGCCCCTGGAGGGAGCCACTGGGGTGAGGCAGCCGCTGGCTCGCAGCACCTCGTGAAAGTGCTGGGCCCATGTGCCCCTGACTGGGCTGGTGAGGCTGCCCTCAGTAGTGGGGGCGGGGCTGCCTTTTGGTGCTCCTCGAGGGGCGGAGCTCTCAGACTTCCCCAGGCCCTCAGTGGGAGGCTTCCCCTTGGCCTGTCTGCCCAGTCGCACGTGGAGTTCCCTCCATGGAACAATATCACAGCTCCCACATCGGGAGCAGCCGCTCTGTGCCAGGCTGTCTCCTACATTATCTCATTTAATTGCCGTAACACCCCCAAAAGAAAGGCAGGCAGTAGTCCCCAGTCTAGGTGGGAAGCAGCTGCTCAGACAGGTTAAGTAACTTGCGCATGGACACACAGCTTTGTCTGCTGGGGCCAGGATGGGACCCTGGAGCTTGATGCGAAGTCCGTGCTATTTTCTCTCTCAAAGCTGCAGCCTCGCTGGGGAAGTAGGGACCACCCGGGGCTTCTACAACTGAGGCGGCTGCATCCCTTTGTGAAGCACGAAGCTTCCTGCAGACCCCGGGAGCAGCCCCTGTGGGGCGTTCTTGGTGGACAGATTTGAAGCAGTTGCACCCAGGGCACCTGGGAGCCACAGCTGGAGTGTGTCAGTCACTGAGGTGTCGTCAGTGTGGGGGTGTGATCTGGCCTGAGGTCTCGCTCTGAGAAGTGGGCTCTTCCCAACACTTCCTCCGCGGAGGGACAGTGGAGGGTGAAGTTAGATCCGCTGCCAGAGCTGGAAGCTCCTGCACTGCCTGGGGCTCTGTTCCATGCAGGTCCGGGAGAAGCAAGGCGTCAGCCCGTCTGGGCCAGGACCGGGCGCTGCCCTGCTCACAGCTTCCCCCGGAGGTGACGTGTGCCCTGAAGTTCCAGAGTCTCGCCGTTCGGGAGAGCCCACGTTTAGGTGACTGTTCTTCAAATACCCACTTCTAAGGGAAGAGGCCTCAGCCATTCCTGACACAGAGATCTCCACAGGGACCACGTGTCCCACCCACATGAGCTCTGCCCAGCAGCTGGAGCCACAGAGGACACACACAGCCCCCACATATACCTACTTTCCACATGCACACCATAATACACTACACACCACACACACACTCCACACCTCAGGTGGCATTTAGAGTCCCAGCCCCAGCGCACTCTCCCTTGGACAGTGGAACCAGAGGGGCAGGAAGGGTGGTCCTCCACGGTGGGGCCCGAGGAAGCCTCGAGGCCCTCAGAGGTGAGCGGAGTTCATGGTAGGAGCACCTTGTGCTCTTTGCCACTTGTGTAAATGTTGCTGTACACCAGGTTCTGTCCCCACTGACTGTACCCCCTTGGAGGGAGGCGTGGCCCCGTGACCGGCTCTGGCCAGTGGATTTGACGGGTGAGAGGGACCACTTCCCCGTGAAAGCATCCGAGAACCAGTGTCTCCATCTTCCCTTTCCCTGTGGCCTCCAGAGGTTGGGTCCCCAAGTGAGGCTGGCATGGAGCGGAGACTGCCAGCCCGTGACAGACAGGGAGTGAGAGTGACAGCCTTTGTGGGTGTAGGCACAGATTTGGGGCTGTTTGTCACCACCGCATCGTTCACACCCTCCTGCTGCCGGGCGCAGTGAAGAGCCACACCTCACAAGGGCTGGACTCTCCCCTGAGACGAGTCGTGGGATTTGGGCACAAAACTGGCAGCGCATCACGGAGGCTCGTGACCGGGAGGTGAGAACTTGCTAGCTGGCAGCGGTCTTGTGGCCTCTCAATGCCCAGCCCTCCCGGCTGGTGTCCACAGAGGCCACAGAGCCTTTCTGAGAAACAGGCATCAGGATTTGACCATGCAACATGGAGCCACCGGAAACGCCGTGTCCGTGGGTGTGTGCGAGTGTCTTTGTGTCTTCCTTCTCTTTTCCATTGAAAGAGCATAAGCTCAGGTTGGTGATGGCCCTGGAATGGGAACAGAATGGGACTGGGAAACTTGTTTCTTAATTTTCTGTCCCCACCCCCTTCACACCAGTGTCTCAAAAGCTGAAGGCAACACCCGAGGTAAGAACTGTTTTCATCCTTGGTTACAAGCCCCTGTTCCCATGGCAGCCCAGCATGCTCTGCGTGCACTTGCACACCATCCTGTCTGGTTCCCTGTCGGTCTCTCCCACCCAGGCTGCCAACGTCTCCAGGGGTGGGCCTGCCCTCCTTGGGGGCTACCTGGCTGGGTACCGGAGCTCTGGGTGAGCAGGGCAGGTGGAGCGGAGCAGAGGGGCGGGGGGGGGGGGGGAAGCACTGGGAGGGGAGGACGCCCCATCCCCATCCGAAGCGTTTACTGAGCGCCCGTGTGTCCAGTCACAGCGCGAGGCTCTGGGGAAAAGTCCAGATCCCGAGATGCGTTTGTTGGTTCACAGACACTTTCATACGGGGTGGTTTCTGAATTTTACAGCCCTGGTGAGGTGAATGGCACGCGCTATCCTGTGCCACCTTAGAAGAGAGTGGGTTTACAGAGTTCACGTGAGGTGTAGCAAAAAGGGCCACGGCCTTGGGCCTGCGTCTTGCTTTGAGTCCTGGCTTTGCCCCCAGCCAGCCTGTGACCCTGGGCAGCGTCGGCATCCTGGTTTATAAAAGGAGGGACTGGTTCTGCAGCCATACCTTCCTACGGTGCCTGGCCCGGCCTGAAGCCTAGGCCGCTTGATTGCTGAACAAGGGGCTGCAGGTGCCCGAGTCTGGGGGGGCCAGCAGGGCCAGTGAGAGGGGCTGGAGGCCTGTGCCTCCTCATCCTGCATCCACCGAGCATCCACAGGGCTCGCCCAGGAGGCCCAGAGGAATAAACACATGCAGAGGAAGGGGCAGCCTGGGTGGGGACAGAGTCCAGAAATCCCAGCTGTTCACGAGCCTGTGGGCAGAGGTCAGTCCTCAGAGATCAGGTCTGACCCAAGGGCCGCCTGGGCTGTGGCTGGATGCACAGCTGTCGAGGTCGTTGTTGAGGTCACTGTACATGCCAGGAGGACTGGAGCTGGGGAAACCATTGATTGCTAGTGACAGCTGACCTCACGGTGACCAAAAGGGGGGCAGCTTAGCACGTATCTGCCACACGATTACCATCAACCTTTGTTCATCAGCACACATTTATTGAGCACCTACTATGTACCAGGCTCTGTTCTAGGCCCTGGAAACAGCAATGGATAAAAATCCCTGCCTTTATGTTCCAGTGAGCCACACAGACAACACACAAGGAAGAAGTAATAATGTCGAGCAGGTACAACGAGGACAACAGCTGCTGTGGGACAAGGGATCGAAAGTGCTGGGTGAGGGGAGTGGCTGCTTTCCTAAACAGCGTGGCCAAGGCAGGCTGACACTGAGGCGGTGGCACTGGAGCACAGACCTGAACAGAGTGAGGGAGGGAGCCAAGTGAAAGTCAGGAGAAGGCAAAGGCCCTGGGGCAGGAGCCTGCCTGGCAGGTTGGAGCAGGGGAGGGGGAGGGAGAGGCGGAGAGGAAATGAGAGAGGTGGGGAGGGTCTGGACTGTGTGGGGCCTCAGAGGAAGGACTGAGGTTTCTCCGCCTTCACAGAAAAGCTTTCCTCCTCTTCACTCTGCTGTTGGAACCACCGTCTCTCGGCCGTGGGAAGCAGCCTGCCTGGAGAGGACTTCTCACGGTGGCCTCTGGCCACACACAGGCGTGTACTGACCGTCCGCAGGCTGGGGCTGACGTCGAGGTGCCCTGGGGCCTCCCCGGGAGACCGGAAGGCGTAGCCCTTGGGAGTGCTGCCTTTGAGAGGTGCTGCCATGGAACATGCACGGGACCTCCAACAGGCGGAGGGCCGGTTCGCCTCCGCCTCTGCTCCCCGCACCTCATGCCTCGGTGTAGGGATCAGCTTCATGGAACTGCAGCCTGTTCTTTCCCACCTCCAGAGGTTTGCACGTGCGGGCGCCTCTGCCTGCAGTACCCGGAGCCCCTTCGTCTGGCTTCTTCGGACCTCGCTTCCCTAGGAAACTCGCCCCCTCTGCTCCCTGTCTGTGCTGCTGCAGCTCCCTGGCTCCCTCTGCCATGGTGTTGAGTCACTCTGTCAGGTGATTTCCTGGTTTCTTTGTCCCCCATCGTGTCTATTTCACTCCCTTGTACACAAGCCCCTGACGTTATTGCTGCTGCGTGAGAAGATCTCAAGAAATTCTGGCTGAACAGCAGGGGTAAAGGAAGGTGGTTGTTGGCTCCCTGGTTCTGGTGACAGGACTTGGGGGGTCAGTGAAAAAGGAGATGGGGACAGGAAGCAGTGTACTCAGGCCATGGAAGTTAGGGGGAGAATAAAAGGAAGCTAGAACCAGAGGGAGCCGGAGGGAGTCTGCAGGCCCGCAACTTCCAAGCCAAGCATCGTGTATCTTCAGTTTACGGTCATGCACCGCATAACGACATTTCGGTCAGCAACAAACTGCATATACTACAGTGATCCCGTAAGATTAGCAGCACATAGTCCAGGTGTGTAGTGGGCTATGCCATCTAGGTTTGTGTAAGTGCTCTCTATGATGTTCGCACAACGACAAAATCGCCTAATGATGCATCTCTCCAAATGTATTCTCATTATTAAGTAACGCATGACTGACCTTGTGCTGGGACCTGAGTTCCCGGGGCACTGTCACTGGCTGTCCCAGACATTTAAAGCCATGGCTTGTCCACCTGGGGAGAATGCACATCTCCATGTGCCAGACAGGTAGCATGTGGGTCCCTTTACGTCTAGCCACATGTCATCCTCACAACAACACTACAATGTGGAAATTCTTATGTTTGCTTCACAGATGAGCACCTGCCTTCTAGAAGGGTGAAGTGCTTGCCCACAGTCACACCCAGCACTGGCTGAGTTTCACAGGGCAGAATCAGCTGCAAAGACGATGGTCTCTTCTCTCTCCTCTGGCTCCCAGACTCCCTGTTAAGACCAGGCCAGGACTGAGGCACCATTGCAAAGGTGGCAACCGACAAAACAGAAACCAGTTTAAGAGGCAATACGTTTATTTGGGATCAAAGAATTGCAATTCGAGGAGCATGGATTCAGGTAGAAACCCAAATAGTGTCCTGCTTACAGGAGAGGGGCTCAGGGTTTTTACGGGAAAAAGGGAGGAGAGGTGCGTTATATGAAGGAGGAGTTCATTGGTGTGAGACGAGGTCGGGCCGGGTTCGTACTTCAGTGATTGGCTAGCGATTCGGTCATCGGCAAAGTGGAGTTTATCAGTCCTCACAAACAGGATATTCTTGTCCTTACTGACTTCTTGGAGTGTTGGTGGTTTGGTCCAGTTTGGAAGATAAAGAAAACAGGACGTACAAGGTGATTCCTCTAAAATGGCTGCCCCGGCTCTACTTTAATATGGCTCCACTCGTGTCATCTTTCACAAAGGTCCCCCTGTACACAGGTCTCCCAGCTCCTAGTCCGGTGCTCATTTCACAAAAGGCACTTTCTCCTGGTCCATTTCTCTCCCTGTGTGTTTTCTCTCTGCTTCTCACTGTCTCTGTCTTTCACCTCCTTGCTTTTCTGTCTGTCTTACCATCTTTACTGATGGCACACGTTGGCTGGGGTGCTGCCTCCTCCCTACTCCCCCCAGCTCCTTCCTTCTTCCTCCCTCCTCCCCCCTACCCCTCCTGTGAGGAGGAGGAGGCACAGATCAGTTGTGTACGGGGCCACGATATTTTTGAAGAATTAGACGATTTCTTCTCCATCCCCCACCCCCTTTTCCCTTTTTCGTTTCTTCTCCCCATTGAAACCGCTGTGCTCCTTGCCTCCGGGAAGACGGGAAGATGTATGAGAGCAGTAAGCAGAAAAAAAATCAGTGGCTTCCTGGCTTTTGTTCTTCAAAAGCCCTTCTGGACCTTTAGGGGAAGAGAGTCACTTGGGCATGGACAAAAGATGTGGGAGGGAGGAAACCGCTGGGGAGTGAGAGCTCGGTTTCCTGCCCAGGCTGAGTCCCTGGGCTGCGGCGGCGGGACGGGAGGAGCTGGAGGGCAGGAGAGGCAGGGTGGGCCCTGGGCCCTGCTTGGTGAGCTGAGCCCCTGGGCTGGGGCAGGACTCCAGGTGGGGCGAGGGGATGTGAGAGCCGAGGGGATCCGGCCTCATTTCCCTGGGAGGCACCAGGTCGGGGGAGGGGAGGAGTTGAAAAGAGCTTGGCGTTTTCTTTTCTTTAGCTGCTCCTTCAAAAAGTTTGGTGCCCCTGTAAAGCGATGGGGCCACAGAGAGAGTCCCAGGAACCCACATGTACCCAGTGAAGGAGCCTGAAATCGGGAACGCGGGGCCTCGGTGGGGACTCCCTGGCTGCTGCCCAGGAGCATCTCAGCAGGTGCCCGCGAGGACAGATGACTAAGAGACCTGGGGCTGCACGTCCCTACTTTTGGCCCTTCATAATTCCCTGTCCCTCCTCTTCCCTCTAGGACATAATCCTAGGGAAAAGGCAGGGAGAAACTTGAAATCAAGTTACTACTATTTCTTGGTGGAACTGGAGTTCAAAATAGAAATGTAAAAAATTAGAGCAAAATAAAAGTTACTTTTCTTGGTCACCTGAGTCAGAGACAAGCAAAAATGCTATAGTTGCAGGGAAGAGGGCCACATAGATTACACTGGGGGGGCTGGTGGAGTGGTCATGGAAGGCTTCCTGGAGGAGGTGAGGCTGAATCAAAAATTTTAAAGTTCCTGACATGTACGCCAGTTTAAATTTCCACCAGTGTCAAGAGATCCTGGTCTAACCAAGACAGTTCTCTATCTCAGGGAGGTGAATCCAATCATCCCTGAATGCTCAAAGCCTTATGGGAACGTTTCAGGGGGCTCTCCCAGAGCGGGGCACGTACTGATGACCATCCTCAGGGTGGCTAGTGCAGAGACAGGCAGGAGCCAGGCTGGGCACTATTTCCCGCAGATGCCCTGGCTGGCCAGCAGGGGGAGCGAGTTTGCCACAGGCCGAAGCCAGGAACCCCGGGGAGCACAGCCAGTGGACGCCCAGGATGCTGAGAGCGCCGCCTCATTGAATCGCCTGCCAGGGAGTGGGCACCCTCGTGAGCGGCGCGCCCACCGCTGGGCGGCCATCTGCCCCCCCTACCTGGGCCCAGCCCTGCATTTTCTGGAGAACAGTTCTTTCAGGCGCTGCCCAAGCCTTCTCTCGACTGTAACTGGGCAAAGAAAGGTGAGAGTTGGTGGCCCGCCCCCCACGGTGGTTTCCAGGGACCCTGAGATGGCTGGGGGTGGGCTGGGCCTCCATCACCTGGACTCTCCAAGCCCATGAGCTGTGGAGAGACCCCTGTCAACCGAGTCACTTAAAATTGCGGGTGTAGAAAAACAATTATGGGCAAAGATACCTGTTGCAGCCATTGAACAGAGACCAATCTAAGTATCCTCTAATATTACTACTGCTAATAATACTAATAAACTGTAGCTCACCCTGTGGTGAACTGTGTTTAGCCATTAAGAACACTGTCTTCAAGGGATAGCTACTGACGTGAGATAGTGCTCACAATATAATGAGCTAATTCTTCTCCATTGCCCTTCCGGAGTCATTGCCACCCTGCTCTGCACCCCGGAAAGTTGACCCCAGGAGACTGCTTCATCCCCACTCCCTTCCTTCTGGCTGTGAGTTGGGTTCAGCCAATGGGAGAGCCCAACAGGACATGGGAGGGTGGGAGGAGAGAGGCCCGGTGTGTAAACTCCACTCTCTCCTTGCCTCAGCACCTCCAGGACTACGGCTCCACTGGGCAGCCCCCTGCTAAAGCTGTAGCCCTCTCTGGGCTCTGGTACTGCTGTTTTCTCCCCTTGCCCTTTTGGCCTTGAGGGTGTAACAGCTCGGCTGCGGCCAGCTCCTGAGTGCCTCGGCGTCCCTCGTCGGTTCCCTTGAACTTGTCCACGTCTCTGTAAATCGTCCTTCACTGAACGACTCTTCATTTGAACCATCGGAGTGAGTGTGTTTCCTGCCAGGACTCTGACGAGTACATGTGTTAAGTGAAAAGAGAAGATGGCAAAGCTTTGTGTAGGAAAAAGGCCCGATGCTCTGTCTGCGTTATTTCACCAAATCCTCAGGCCGTGCAGTGAAGTGCAGCCGAGAGGGGTGTCGACACCAGACTCGAATTTGGAAAGCATTTGAAGGAGCTCTCTAATCACATCTTTATGGAGGGGAAGACCATGCTGACCAGGGAAGAGGGAAAAAGGCGCACGAGACATTTATTGCTTTTAAAAGTTGCTGTAAGTTACTCCTAGATTGTATTTTTTTTTAATGCATAACAGTTTAGCTCTTTTAAGAATGTGCTTCTGATAAGAAGAGGAGGAGGAAGCTGTGGCTTGATAAAGTAGGCCACGGGAGCTCAGATGACCTGATTTCTGTCTAAGCCAAATTCTCACCCAGCTGCACATGGGAGGAGCTGCCTTAATTTCTTAGAATCCCAGCTCTGCCACTGTGTGACCTGGGTTTTTTAATCTATGAAATGATTATGTTAATACACAGCTTATGGGTCACGGTGATGACTGATAGTCAGTGCAGGTAAAGTGTCTGGCCCTGTGCCCAGGTCGTCATGGGGACTCAACACATGTGACTCCGTTTCCCTCCCGTCCCCCCTGTGTGCAGTGGGAAGGTGGCTGCTGTGGCCACATGGCGAAGAACTGGGGTGGGAGAGACAAAGCTTCATGTTGTGACCTCGTGCCTGGCACACGGGAGTGGCCCTTGGTGAGTTGTACTGTGGCCGCTCAGTGAGTGAACAAATGAGTGTTCTCCCCGGATCTACCCTCCCTGGGCTGGGTCCCAGGAAGACCCTTCACAGCCTCCTCTCTTTCACCAAAGGGTCTTTGTTTTCTATCCCTTTATATTCGTTTTTTATTGCTGTCTAAGAAATTTCCACAAAGTGGTTTAAAACAACACACACTTATTATATATCTCAGAGTTTCTGGGCACATGCTAGCTGGGTCCACTGCTCAGGGACCCACAGGCTGTGATCAAGGTGCTGGTGGGGCTGCGTTCTTATCTGGGGTCGTGACTGGGGTGGGTCTCAGAGCCTGGGCACATGCTGCTGACCATCCTCAGGATCTCACAGGCTCGTTCAGGTTGTTGCAGAATTCATCCCCTTAGATGGAGGACTAAGGTCCCTGTTCTCTTGCTGGCTGTCAGCAAGAGCCTCTCTCGGCTCCTAGAGGCTGCCCACAGCTCCTTGCCAAGTGGCCCTCTCACAACATGACAACTTCCTTCTTCAAAGTCAGCACAAAAGAATCTTGTTCTCACTGCAGTCAGAGCAGTGTGCGTGTGAGTGTGTGTGTGTGTGCGCGTGTGTGTACACACACTTATATGATCACCTTTGCCATGTATTGCAATTTTATTAGGGGAGTGACAGTGCATCACCTTTGCCATATCCTGTTCCTTAGAAGCGAGTCCCAGATTCCTCCCACACTCAGGGGAGGACTACACAGGGTGTGACTCTTAGGGGTCGCCTTGGAGTGTGTGTACCACACCTGTCCCCTCCGAGTCCTCTTATCTGTTGGGTGGTGAATAAACCTGTGCATTGTCCTTCCTTGTGCATTACTTGCATTTTTACCAGGATGTTCAGGAGAATCCTTACCCTCAGATAACTGTGATGACGTCAGCTGTCCTGGTCATGTCTGCTGCTGGCTTCCTTTGAGGGGGTGGAGGAAGTGGCCTCACAGCCAGAAGCCTTTACCCTCCTCAGGAGCACTGCTCTGGTGGCCACACGCAGTCCACATCTACCTACACAGTTATGGGCATCTGTTTCTTGAACATCTGCTGTGTGCCTGACACTGGGCATAGAGACAGTGCTGCTAGCCTCTTCCTCAGTAGCTGCCTTATTTACTTCCTTCTTTTCCTTCTGTTGAGTAAAAGCATATTTCTTTGCTTTGAGTCAAAGTATGTGTTCAACTGCAAATCACACAAAACCCAACAAAGAGTGACTTAAGCAAGGGCTTTAATCACCTAACAAGAAGCGCAGGGGTAGGCAGTTCAGGGCTGGTGCAGCTGCTCAAAGATGTATCATCACATTATCCCAGGTTCCTTCTTGCTCCAGCATCTGACTTTAGTCCTTATGGTCACCAGATTGCTGCTACCTCACCAGGCATTGCATCTGTATTCACCCAGGAAGAAGCAGGGAGAGCAAAGAGACTTGTTTTTTTATTCTGGAAAGATCACCCTTCCCGAGGACTTCCACCTGCCTCATGTGGGCCACAACTTGATCACATGACCACCAGTAACTCCAGAACTGCAGAAGTAAATTTTTAGCTGGGCGCATTGCCAGAGGCAACAAAATCGAGATTGTGTTGGTAGGAAGATGGGAAATGGATTTGGGGTGGGTCGCCAGCGGGACCACTGGGGGGGCCTCGGGCCGAATCCCCACGCCTCTCAAGGGTGATGGTCCTGCAGTGGCAGCAGCTGGTTCTTTCTGGGTCCTTGTCCACAGGCAGTGCTGACAGAGAGATGCTCTTGGCTTACTTGTCAGAAAGGCGTTATCTGAGCAACAAGCAGCTGCAGTAAAACGGAACTGAGGTTTCCTCTGTCCCAAGGGGCCTTCTATCCAGAGCGCTGGTGGGGGCAGGGGGTCTCCGTGGCGAGCCTTGGGGGATCGGATGTCAGTGCGCAAACCCTGCTTTGGGTGGAGATCGCTTTTCCCTCCTTTTTAAAAATGCGGCACGAACGCAGAGAGAGCGCCGCGCAGGCCCTGGACCTGTTGGCGGTGGGATCCGGCCCACCTGCCCGTCCCCTACTCCGCTCTGCGTGGCGGCGGACGGCCCCCGACGGCCTCGCTTGCTCTAGCTTGGGCCTGGCGCAGAGCGGGCGCGGCGGGAGCCCGGCGGGTGGGAGCAGCGGGCGTCCCTCCCTTCCGGCGGGGCGGAGTCTGCACCGCGGCTGCGGCCGGGGCTCCGGCGCCCACAGAGGCCTGCGTGGCGGCTCCCCTGGGCGGCCCGGCCCGGGCTCCGGGGACCGCGCCTTCTTTCCTGCGCCTCTGCCCGGGGCTGGCGGTGCCTGACACTGTCCCCGGGTTCCTGTGGCCTCCTCGGTCTCCAGCTCCTGTGTAACCAGCACTCTGCCTCAAGTCCCTCTGCTTTAAATACGCAGGTGGTCTTCCTGCTGGGTAGATCCTGACTCACAGAAACAGTTCGACACGCACGCGGACGCCGTCCCTTAGATTGCACGGTGACTGCCGCTCCGCCACACTGGCTTCATCTAGTCTTATTTTTGTGGGCAAAACATCCCAGACGTCATGATGTTGCTGAATGATTTCAGTATGTATCTCTGAAAAATGAGGGTTTCTCACATAACAAGCATATTTAAATTCTTCCCACCTACGTTCACGTATTAACGCCCCTAACAAAATGAGCAGAAGTCCCTACGGTGGTCTAGCACCCACTCCACAGTCACATTCTCCATCTGTTCCGAAGACGTCTGTTATACAGTTGGCTCAGGATTTAAACCAGCTCCGCGCGCTGCATGGGGTGGACCTGTTTCCTGAGGGTCTTTTGACCCTGAACAGTCTCCCCCCACGAGATGTCGCCCGCGCGCACGCTCGAGCCTGGGAGCACGGCCGTCCTGGTCCCCACTCGCCCTGCTGAGCCCGCTTCTTACACGAACTGCTTCTTCAGCATCCCTCGCAGGGCACGGACCGCCTCCTGTCTCTGGGCTCCTCCAGACTCGGCATCGCTGCACCACAGCTTGGCGCTTCACTCAACTCTTTTTAGTTTTTTCTACATTTGTTTGTTTTGTTTGCTTCGTTGTGTGGAGGCAAAAACACAATGGAAGCAAAGAGACGTACGTAGAGGCAAAAATTAAGCCTTTTAATGATTTTCAGCCACAAAGGAATCTTGAAGGTGGTCTCATCTAAGCCTTGATTTTTCTTTTTTATAGTTTTACAAACTGCCTAAGTAGTATGTCACCACCCATTTTAGAGAGAGAAAATGGAGGTCCAGGGAGGCTAAATAAGGTCTAAGGACACACAGTCAGCTGGCAGCTGAGTGGGGATCCACTTGTGGTGGGTTTTCCACTGGACCATGTAGTTCTCTTTCCATTTTCCTGCAGCATCTGACACTATATGACATGGAAAATGCTCCCTAAATGGCTGTTGCCTGATGGACAGACCACGGCCGGGATCTGATTTTTAACGACGGGAGCTGAGCGCAATTGTGGCTCTTTAGAGAGAGCTGGTGAAAGCAAAGGACTAGTGGTTTCTGGCTAAAAATCCCAGCTCGTACTTTAATCCCTTTGAATTCTCAGGGAGTGTTTGAGCCACTAGGTCCCAAAGCCTTTGGTGACAGCCGAGAGTCAGGCAGCTAATCTTCAGGAAAGCAGTCCCAGAAGGCAAACGTCCAAATGCGCCCCCCCCCCCCGCCCCCCCCCCCTTCAGCCCAGAGAGAGACGGCGGACTGGCGGAGCCAGGGCTGGGGAGGAGGGCTGGGGAGTGACCAGCCGTGGGGGTGGGTGTTTATTTTGGGGTGAAGGAGTTTTGGAACTAGATCAACATGGTGGTTGCACAACGTTGTGAATGTACTAAATACCGCTGAATTGTTTACTTTCAAATAGTTAATTTTGTGTTATGTGAATTTCCCTCCAGTAAAAATAAGTACGTGACACTAACAGGATTAACGTCCCACCTCAGCTCCGCCCGACCCCACCACACCCGGCCTTTCCGCCATCTCAGACCGTGCCAGTGGGAGATGAGACTCGTGTTGGGGGAGCGCCGTCCTGGGGAGTATTTTGGCTCTCCCCTCCTCAGTCAAGGGAGGCCCTGCAGGAGAGTCACCCTGTGAGATGGGAGGTGCCTGCAGGAAGTGTATTCCCACGTTGGAGACAGGCTTTGGGGCAAGACAGAGAGGCTGCGTGGAGTGGCCTGTGTGCCTAAGCAGCACCATGAGTTCCCAGGGCACCAGATTTCTTGGGCTGTCCTACCAGCACTTCCCCCCAAGACAGCCAGCCCCACGTGAAGGGACTGTGGCTGTCAGAGTGAGCTGAGGAGAGGACAGGGAGGGGCCCAACGTTGTTACTCTTAGGAGGTGGCATCTGGACACCTGCCATCCTGAGAATAGCAATAGAGAACCCACAAAACCCACAGAAGAAGAAGCTGCAATCCAACGCCCAGTGAAGCAGAAAGATCCTTCCCCGCTCCCCCTCCCCCTCCAAGTCCCCAGGCGGGGGGTGGGGGGGGGGGCGGGGGGAAGGGGGGGGGCAACCACAGAGCGAGCGAGGAGGGGCAGGGCTCCGGGCTGGAGGCAGGCTGGTGGGGAGAAGGCAGGCAGTGGGCATTCCATCCGGTTCAAGATTAAGGTTTGAAAGGAACTACACTGGACAGGGGGATTTTTTTAATGCCTGAAAGCAACCAAAAAGCTATGAGATCAGCTCAAGATTTTACAGGGATTATGAAAGGAGATTTGGTATAAATCTCTAAAAGATTTGGAGGAAAAAATAAAACCTTTTCATGTTTGTGCCCCATGGCGTTCAAACTGTGAAGTAAGTTGCTTAATCTGAGTCCCTGTTTTCTCATCTATAAGAAGACAGCAATCACACCCTCTGGCTGGGTGATTGCAGGTGTTGACAGAGTGATATTCATGAAGCGCCTGGCACAGGCTGTCGCTAACACGTGAGATGGAGCCGCAGCTTTCAGACAGTAAGTCACCCCTCTGGGCAGAAACAAGAATGTCAGGGGAAGTTGACAGTCCTGAACAAGGCTCCATGTGAGGACACAGCAAGAAGGCAGCCATCTGCAAGCCAGGGCCAGAGGCCTCAGGAGAAATCAAACCTCCTGACATGGTGATCTTGGACCCCACCAACCTCCAGAATCGTGAGGACATAAATGTCCGTTGTCTAAACCCCCCAGTCTGTGCTGTTTTGTGATGGCAGCCTGAGCAGACTAACACCATCGTGGATTTGTTTTGTCCCATGGCATGTGGGTAGAAGTGACAGAGGGACAGCTCCTAGCCAAGGCCTCAAGAGGCATCACACATCTGATCACGCTCTCGTGGCCCTGCCACTCGCCATGAGGAGAACATGCCCTGGACACCAACTGGCCCAAGGAGGAGCAGAGAAGCATGGAGCAGGCATCAACCCAACCAGCAGCGTCAGCGGGGTGCAGAGCCCCAAGGCCCCCTGCAGTCCAGCCTGGTCCAGATGCCCCACAGGCGACTGCAGGCCATGAGCAAGGAGTCAACTCTTGCTGTTCTACAGCACTGAGGTTTGCAAAGCACCTGACAAGGAAACTCTCACGGGTCTGCCGTGAGGATTAAATGAATGATCTGTGAAAAGACTGTGCAAAGGTAAGACATTATATTATTGTTTAGTAAAGAGGTCGAGCCTCACTCACCATCCTGGGAGATGACCAGCAGTATCCTTTGAATGGTGGCCATGTAAGGAGTGCTCATTGACGGTGACGATGAAAGCGAGGAATCTGGATTATGAAATATCTTTAGAAGGATCAGCTGTCTTACTTCAGTTACATACATAAATAAATGATTGGCTAGCAATCATCAAAGTTCAACACTATCAAAATTTTGTCTATGCTACACGGGTGGCCT